AAAAAAAAAAAAAAAAAACCAGATTTCGAACAGATATTTGTATTCCCGTGAAAATTGAGTGGAGCCAACTCAATTTTCATAATTAGCATCCAAGGAGCCTTGATTATGAAGCATCAGTTAATATTAATTTGGCTAATTTTACTATACGATCTGGTTGTTCTGCATGCATCATCTTTTTTCTATTATTGACTAAAGTAGGGGTGGGCAAAAACCGAAAAAAACCGGTTCAACCGAAAAAACCGCCCGAAAAAGCGGGCCGGTTAACCGAACCGGATTAAATGGATGAGAAGAATGTTCTAAACCGCCCGAACCGGATTAAATCGGTTTGGATCCGGTTTGAACCCCTGAACCGCCCGAAAAAAAACCGAACCGAATTTTCTAATTCGTTCTTTGTCGGATATTCATATTGCTCAAAATGGGAAGGACTTCGTCGTTCGGAATTCGGTCAAAATGGAAAGGACTTTTGGTTCGGACGAAGTCGGATGGAATAGCTTTCTTATTAGTGAGTCATCACTTGAACATTAAGCTATATAATTGCTCGTGTCAGATGTTGATTCCTTAAAATTATTGTGTACAGAATCCTCATCTTCCTATATGTGGTCCACAATTCACTGTTGGTTGTAGCCAAACCTGCAATTTGCGCCTAAAGGATCCACTTGTCAGCTCAATTATCTGAAAGAAGTGAGGGTCCTCCAAATCACAGGTTAATTCGGTCCAAAACCGAAACCGATCCGGTCCGAACCGAATTTCGGTTGGGCCGAATATTCGGATCAATGGGAAAAAATCTGGATCTGGATGAGAGTTTTGAGAATCTGAAAAATTCGGATTGGATGCGGATTGGGCTTAAAACCGATCCGATCCGAATATGCCCAGCCCTAGACTAAAGTGCTGTTTGGTTGCACACTTTTTGAGAAAATTTTTCTCAAAGTATCTGACAATAGCAAATTTGTAATTAAAAGTTTTTCAGAGATTTCTGTAAATTGTGTTTGGTTCAACAAAAAATTACAGAAATATTTTCTATAAAATATCAAAACCTACCAAATTTTATAAAAAGTAATTTCCTCTTAAAATGAGAGGAAATCACCAGAAATCCGACACATGTCATATTTAATTAAAAACCTACCAAATCTTGTTATTTTCTATAAAGTTATGAGCTATTTTCTTGTTTTGAACCAAACAAGCAAAGTACAGAAAACAAAAAAATTGGTACTTTTTGATTTCTCAAAACTTTTCCTATAATTTTTTTAAGAAATACAAGGAAATCATATTTTAGGTGGAAAATATTTTCTATAATTTCTAGAAATTGAACCAAACACCCCCTAAATATGAAGAGAAAGGGTGAAAATTATCATCTCTTTTTTTTTGTTTCTTTATGATAGGTTTCTAATAAATTTTCATGCTTATGTGGTGCTTCGTAACTTGGCATGTTGATTTTAATCTAGAATTAGTTTAATTTGAAATGAATCTCCTGTTGAGCTTTTAAAGAGGGAAAAAGGTGGGGGAAAAAAATATTATTCTTGTGATTCTTAATTGGTCCCCTTATGGTGACTGGATTCACAACAATGAAATTTAATGATTTATGTGTGGTCTTGTATCCTACTCGTTTGCAGAAAAAGAATTACAGCAACACAGGCCTTGGAATGATTAAGAGAATCCATTCAGCTACGCTTGAGAAATTTGCATACGGTACAGGTATTTTTTGAGGCTGCTCATTTGGTTATCGTAATTTTTTTTTTTAAAACAAGCTTGTAAATGTTTTTTCCGTTTTTTTTTATATAAGAAAATATTATACATGTGATGATGACAAGCGGACAACAAGCTGCGCCGCTAATCCTTTCTGAATTACAAAACCCAACCGACGAAACACGTAGTCAGCTGATCCTGCTGTAGTCACATTCCTATTCATAAATTTTTGTACCCTCCTAAGAAACTCCGCTGTATCAGCTGCAAGATAACCAAACGTATCGAACGCGAACGGGATGAAACTATGGTGATTGTCCTTGCAAGCTTGATTATGTTTGCCCACCTTTGCCTCTGCCGTCCTATCCGCTGCATGCCCAACTTTTTTTTTTTTTTTTGATATGCACTTTTCTTATAATTGGTCATTATAAATTTATAACGTTGTCCTCCAGTTGCCTTATCCTACTGGAGTGATGAAAATATCATTATCCGTTGATTTCCAGATAATTTGTCGTTTGCGAGACAGATTCAACGAACCGCGAATAAATCGCTCGCTTGTATCCCTTTTTTTTTCTTTTTTTTTTTTGCAGTCACGTCGTGTTCCGGAACACGACAGCCTGACACCGCCAAAAATATCCTAAATACGGAAATACCCCTTTCCTCTCTTCTAATAATAATAATAATAATAATGATAATGATAATGATAATAATAATCAACACACCTTTTTATTGTCAAATATAAAAAAAACATTGTGACCCAACCGGTTCCAGCATCACAAATTTTTTCTTCTCGTGAGACAACTTTACTTATCACTCAAGTCGCTGAATCATCCATCTTAATTCACCTAGCATAAGTTTTTCAATGACATTAAAATGTTATGCAACCTAAAATTTTCTATTAACTAGTTAACTAAGGTCAACCATCCGCAGAATGTATAACGTTTAAGCTTATCAATAGATTAACTAAATTGTACATGTTTGATCCAATTTCCTAAGAGGATTTGAAATTTACAGGTTTGTTGGTATTTAGAACAAAATAAATAGTACTAACAATAAATTTGAGTAAGGGTCTGTTTGGTTAAAATTTTTTTTTTTTGAAAGCCTGCCAAAGTGTCACTTCTTTGACAAGCTTTAAACAAAAACGCCTCTAAAAAAAGGATTTTGCTTGAAAGTCTGTCAAAAAGTGACACTTTTAACACTTTTTGCAGGTTTTCAATAGTGGCTTTCCCTCAAAAACGGGGAACCAAACAGCCCCTAACTAATGAGTTCACCATCTTCATCACTATTAAGTGCCCAGTTATTGTGATTATGAATTATGTAAAACTAGAACGAGTCATAAATTCCAACAGTTAAAAAAAGAAAAGAAAAAAAAAATCTCGTGACACGACTCCTCCTAGTATTACACGACTCATAAATTGATCCACTCATTAGCAGTTCAAATTTAACTTGACCCACCAAATTATGACGGTTTCGGGTGCACCCAAACCTTGATAAAAATAGAAAATTTAAGCGGCGCATAAAAACACCACAATTCGGGAATTGGTGAAAGGAATATTAAAGGTCTGCTTTAAAAGTAAAATTTTTTCTACGTCTACTCAAGTTCTTGATTTGGTACGAGCATCTTTGGAATCTAATAGTTCCATCTAACAATAAAAAGGCTTGGCAAGATGTCTAAAAAAATTATTGGCTATGAAAAAATAGATAAAGTGAAACTAACATTCTCCTTCACTTACTTTTTCTTTCTTTTTTTTCCCAACAAAAAATAAAAAAATTAGCTAGCAACAACCTTGATAAAAATAGGTACCTAATGAACTGTGTTTGACGTTATTATATAAGTTAAAAGGGCATCATTTACTCGCACTCCAAGAGCTTCTCCATCTTCTTAAAATACTCAATTTTGGGGAATATAAAACTATTTTTAGGTCCAACAGTTTCCCCATCTCATTCCCTAAAATAGGGATAGAGAAGAAAAAAAAGAGGGTCTTTCCCCAAATCTGCAGCATTCTGCAAAAATTCTTCCTTCTCCAAATTCTTGAAAGTAACATTATCATAAATATCTCACATTCTCCAAAGAAGAAGAAAAATATATATATCTAATACTTTATTGAGTTTTAATTGTTATAGTAAAATATCAAACATTTATTTTCTTAATTATTATTGAGTATGAATGATGTTTTATAGTTGTTATAAATGCCTAAATCCGTAAAATGGGGAAGCTGTTGGAGTTAGAGCAAATTTTTTTTAGAGAATTTGACATTTTGCTTTCCCATTTTGAAGAATTTATGGTGAAGATGTTCGAGATGCTCTTAGAACTCGTCATAGATGTTCAACCGCATTTGGATAAATCATCATAAGAACAAGTTAAAAGGATGGTGTGAAATTAGGTAGCAACAATCCAAAGCCCACTGCAGTAAACTGGCCCATGTGAATGTGATGATGAATATATATATATATATAATATATATATATATATATATATAATATATATATATATAATATATATATATTATATATAATATATATATATATATATATATATATATATATAATATATAATATATATAATGGGTATCCTTATCATAGGAGGAGATTTTCTCCTTGATGCATATGTGACACAATCCCGCACCATCCTTATATAAAGTAGGACGAGAGAGCTGTAAGTTGGTGGAATTTATGTCGACTTTATTAGAATGTTGGGATTGTGCCACATAGGCGACAAGAGGAAAATCTCTCCTATGACAAGGATACCCATTATCTATATATATAATCTCTCCTCTCTCTCTCTCTCTCTCTCTCTCTATTATATATATATATATATATATATATATATATATATATATGGGTATCCTTGTCATAGGAGGAAAATTTTCTCATTATCGCCTATGTGGCACAATCCCCAACATTCTAATAAAGTAGGCACAAATTCCCACCAACTTACACTCTCTTTTCTACTTTATGAGGATGGTGGGGATTGTGTCACGTATGTGTCAAGGAGGATGTGTAAAAATGTGGTGTTCCTTGGAATCAACACAGTGCTTGTGGGTCGGATCTCAATCCCATCCGTATTGGGTCATTATTATTGCGACATCAGACCATAAAATAAATGTACTGTATTCACACCAAATTGAGCCCAACAAGTAAATTTGGATATATTTCCTTTTATATTTAATTAACAAAAATAATGTATTTTTCATTGAATTTAATTTCATCCTTCTCAATCTAATTCTTACCGCCAACAAATAACAACTTCCCTCCGAGAAGCTATTTTTAATTAATATATTAATTTTCATCCTTCTATATCAAGAACTTTAATTACAACATTAATTACCTATTTTTAATAACGGTTATTATCTCTTCGCTCTCCATGCTGTTCAAAAAATATCATGCCAAATTGTATTTTAGACCAAAACTGGGATTATCATATACATAAGGTACAAAATCGCAATGTTCATGAATTTTCAGTTTTTTTTGGTCAACTTAAACTCTAAGATGACCAAGTCAAAATGAGTAAAACTTCAAGGTATTATTAATGAGCAAATAACCCAGACATAAATTCTGGAGAGCAAAAGGCATGTATGTACTGTATGAAATAGAAATTGTAAAACTTTATAGTACTAGTTACGTAAAGTCAATCAATTGATTTATGCAGGAGAATTCAAATCAAATTGGGAGGCACTACAGTCACACCTCCAACCACACCTCAACCATACTCCTCTCTCGTTACAGTGCACTGGAGCCCACATGAGAATTTTTTTAAAATTCTCATATGAGCCCCAGTATACTGTAGCGAGAGGTTAGAGGTGTGGTTAGGAGGTGTGCCTCTAACCTTTTCCAATCAAATTACCCGTATCTAACTTACATTGTCAAGCTACACCAATAACATTGATGCGTTAAATGCTCAACACAATGTTTTAGCTTTGAAATTCATCAACAAACTATTGCCCACAATAATTAATTTCGTGCAATTAATTTATGCTGCTGATCATTGGATGCCAACAGAAACTTCGATCCTATTGCCTGCCCAATCCGGTGTATTGGAAGCTTTGCTTTAAAAAAAAAAAATCTCTTTAAACCCTACAAAAAATAATATAAAAAGGAGCATCTTGTTGCGTGATCTCTTATTTTTAAATCCAGTGGCACATTCGTCATTTCAAGAAAACAGACTACAAAAATATTGTTTCTTTACAAAATAAACACACACAAAAAAAAAAAAGACCATGTGACTTCATTACAAAACAAAACCCTAGGGGCATGGTTGTAATTTTTGACCAAGAGGACAAAGGACAAGAGAGAACTCAAAACGGTGAAGGCGAGAGAGAGGGCAGGTGGAAGCTGTGATTTCGCCATTTCTCGTTTCCCCTTTTCTTTTTTTCATTTCATTTTATTTTTTTATTTTATTTTCGAGGTTTTTAATTTTTCTTCTCTCTCCTCCCCCCCCCCCCCCCAAAAGCGAACGCTATAGTCTGTGTAATAAGGGAACGATACGATCTTTCTCTCTCTAGCCATGGCGACTGATAGCATCTCAACTCAACCACTGTGATCAGCTGCTCGAGGTGTGTAGAGATCTCTTTGATATCCAATCCTTTTCTTCTATTATTTGGCTTTATGCTCTCTTTGTTCATGATCTTTTATGGGTTTTGGAGCCTCGAATATACAGTTTATGATCTGCCGATTCCTTTCATTTCCCTTGCTTATGAACGAAAATGGAATGTGGGTTTTTGTGGATTCGTTTGATTGCGGGCTCTAATTGGTAAAAGGCGGTAGCTTACTCTCTTAGGTTGCTGATTTCGTTGACCTGCTCTGAATTGGGAATGTGGGTTCCTTTCATCTCTCGATTTCAGATCTGGGTTTTGTTTTTCGGACTACTTTTTAGCTGAATTGTGCTGATTTTTGAAATCTTTAACATGGGATTTTTGAACTATTACTGGATTTGGGACCCGATGCAAATTAGTTGGGGGTGAAAGGACTTAGCTCTCGTTAATTCAAATGCTAACGTTGATTAAATTATAGTTTTTGAGGCTCCAGGTGTTGGGAACTGGAGCAAAATGCGCATCTTGACGATTTAAAAATTATAATTTATTTTCGTTCTCGGTTTCTCTCGGCCATTGGGCATCTCAATCTGGCTCTCTTGCTTTTGGAGTTTATGGGTCCTGGTATTTCATCAGGCATCCGAAGATCCCGTGCTTAATTTTGGACTTTTTCCATGTCTTTGAGCCCTGGGTCTCAGTGGTCCCATAGATATGAAAATTTTGAGCTCAACCCTTTTCATCCTGGTGGAAATTTTGGCTTCATATAATCAGAAAATGCTTGGCATTGTGGGGCTGGGGTTTCAGGGTTGTCATATCTGATATCTTTTCTTTTTCTCTTATACTTTTTGTAATGGGGATATTGACAGAAGAGATGGGAAAGATCAGATAAAGTCTATTTCTCGCTTTACTTGGTGTCCTTTAGTCGTAGTCTCAAATCTTCAAGTTTTTTTTTTTTTGGTCTATGGGCACATATATCTACAAGTTGTTAGTTGAGGTTACTACCTCAATTCCTATTATTTATTTACTTTTCTTTTTACCCATTTTGCCGTGTTTAATAAGGTTTTCCCATTTGGGTTATGAGTGCAATCTTGTGTTTAGAAATTCCACTTTGACCTACTTGTTGAATTCCTTGGTTCACTATCTTCACAGGATTAGGTAAATGTGTTTAAGAAATATTAAGCAAGATGCCGGCCCCACTTATTTTTGAGTCTCATTTTACGGTTTCAGCTTTGCTTAAGAAGACAAGGCTATTCGACAAGAGGGGAGGATGCATTAACAGAACGGCAAAGTTTGTCTAATAAAAAACACTTTCATGGCCAAAAAATGTATGAAATTAAGAGAGAAAACAAGACTTTCAAACTGGTATTTCCAAACATTGTGTGAATGGAGTCATAATTTCAGGCTGAGGTAGCATTTTGGAAAAGTTGACTAAGCTGTCAATATAATTTGATTTGTTTCTTTTCTAGTGTTTGTTCCTGTTTGATTATTATACACTTAAGTGGAAAGAGACCATGCTTTTGTTTTGTTCTTTCTTACTGGTAATGACATTGCATGTTAGATCTAACCAAACCAGATTCCACGATCAATTCTGATCGCATATGATATGAGCTATTAAATTTTTTCCATGGTCTTCATATCAAGATTTTACCTTGTGCATTTTCTCTATTCTCTATGCCAACAGTGTGTTTGATATTTTCTCCTTGTGTAATTGAAATATGAGTAGTCTAGTAACTGAAATACTGAATATGCAACATATTGCTTATTCTCAAGTGTAAAAGATAGTATTCCAGTAAATGTCATACTTTGATCCTTGCTTTGAATCACTATTACCTTTCTTAAATTATTTCGATTAGTCATTTATTTTCCCGAGATAAATTTAAATTATACTCTAATTTATTTACCGAAAAGAAACATTGAAGCCATCCAAAAATATTTGACTTTTTAAGCATTCTTAACTTTGTGTCTATTTTTGTTTTATTTACTAAAATTCCCTTATGTTCACATCTTTCATATATTTCTCACATGACTTTGTGCCCTCTGCTTACAGAGTATCTTCAGAAACTAAATTGTGAATCTCTAGTTCAGAACTGCTGCTTGTTATTTTGAACTCCATTCGGTTCTTCTGGATCACACCTGACCTCAAGACCTGCTGAGCAAATTGAATAAAACGATGGGTTCAAGATTCCCATCCCATCAACTCAGCAATGGCCTTTATGTTTCAGGCAGGCCTGAGCAACCAAAGGAAAAACCTCCTACAATGAGCTCCACAGCAGTGCCATATACTGGCGGGGACATCAAAAAATCAGGAGAACTCGGAAAGATGTTTGACATTCACGTGGAAAAATCAAGAAAATCCGGTCCTATCGCAAATGCTCCTTCAAGAAACGCATCATTTGGTGGCACTGCTTCACACTCTGGCCCTATTAATGCTGCTGGTCGACCCAGCTACTCTGGTTCTCTTTCCTCTGGTGCTCCAGGGGCATCTCTAGTCACTGGAGGATCAAATAGACAGAAATCTAATTCTGGACCTCTTAATAGACACGGAGATCCAATTAAGAAATCATCTGGTCCTCAGTCTGGTGGGGTGACCCCGATGTCTCGTCAAAATTCTGGGCCCCTTAATACACCTGTGCTCCCGACTACAGGCCTCATCACTTCTGGGCCAATCTCTTCGGGCCCACTGAATTCATCCGGTGCACCTAGGAAAATTTCAGGTCCTCTGGATTCTACTGGTTCAATTAAACTACATCATACTGCCTCAGTTGTCCATAACCCAGCTGTTACTAATCTGAGTCAGGAAGAAGATTATTCATTCAAGGGGAGTGTACCGAAGCCGGTAATGTGGGCTGTGATTCTACTGTTTGTGATGGGGTTCATTGCAGGAGGATTTATTCTAGGTGCTGTTCACAATCCTGTGCTCCTCATTGTTGTGGTGGCTTTCTTTGGCGTGGTCGCTGCGCTTTTCATTTGGAATAGATGGTGGGGGAGGAGAGCGGTTATAGGATACATTGCCAGATATCCTGATGCTGAGCTAAGGACCGCAAAAGATGGACAATATGTCAAAGTCTCCGGGGTATGATATTTTTATTTTAACTTTTCATATGTTTACAGTCTGTTGGTCCTGTTTTATGCGCATTTTGTAATCGAGTAAGAATAGCTAGTCCAGGAAAACTAAGTTTTATTTTGCAATTAAGCTTATGGTTTTCTGAAGGCCATTGCTGACTCCTCCCTCTTCATGTGATCTTTTCTGCTAATAGTTCAAGTTTCACGTGGAGGCGTCTTTTTGTAGGTTGAATCTTTTAAAATTTTCTGTGTGGTCTTTCTGGCTCCATACAATGTGTCACTTCTGCATTAAATATAAGCATCATATTCTATTGAAAATTCATCTTGTTAACCGCTAAGATAACATGAGATTAGTCCTATTGCCATCATTTTGTTTTTCTTGTAACTACACATCATTAACCATGGATATTGTTCACTTAGTTGTGATGAATCTAAACACCATAATCTAGTGAAGCTGCACCCTGTCTAGTCACTAAAAAGAGAAGATTAGTCCCATTGACATCCTCTTGTTACCTAGTAACTACACATGATCAACAACTACAGATGTTTGTGTGGCCTTTTGTAAGAAACTGATCTAACTAGTAAGCATGCTTGCTGACAACGTTCATCATCATATGTAATTTGAAGACCCAAGATTGATATAGAGCATTACATGTCCTCTCTTGTTGCCTTTTACATTGAATATAAGCTCAGAAGTTTGTGATGGCCATATATGGTAAGAGAAGCCACAATTGTAGGTGATGCCATAAGCTGATTGATGGGACAATCTCTGATTTTACTTTTACATGATAACCTGATTCTGAATTGGTTGTGGGCCAACTTATCTGCCCTGTTGACTGGTGATAAACTGTTGACAACTATAATTTGTGTTGCTTTGCAGATAGAATGACATGGTCATTATATGCTAGTGATGCTTAATTGATTATTTATTTTGTGACTATTACCATCTTGTCGTCTTTTTGATAGACTTGGATACATTTTTCGCAGGTTGTTACATGTGGAAATGTTCCCCTTGAATCATCATTTCAGAAGGTCCCTAGATGTGTGTTCACATCTACTAGTTTATATGAGTACAGGGGGTGGGACTCAAAGGCTGCCAACTCTCAGCATCGTCGTTTTACATGGGGACTCAGATCAATGGAGGTATTGTAAGTTTCTTTCTGATTGAATATTATAAGTTACTTGCTGCGTAGATATTGGATCTGCTGTTTTCATCAGTCACATATTATACTTTGTGTTTTATGAAGTTATGTATATAGCTAATCGTTTCTATTATTGCATTTGAAACTTTTGGCAGAGGCATGTGGTTGACTTTTATATCTCGGATTTCCAGTCTGGGTTGAGAGCCTTGGTCAAAACTGGCTATGGTGCAAGAGTGATGCCTTATGTTGACGAATCTGTTGTGATTGACATTGATCCAAACAACAAAGATATGTCTCCTGAATTCCTCAGGTGGTTGGCTGAGAGGAACCTTTCAAGTGATGATCGTGTAATGCGCATGAAAGAAGGGTAATTTGATTTTGTTTCTCTTTTAATTGAAGTTTCATCAATGGATTTGCAAGGGTTTCTTGAAAGTATTTGTTAACAAGAAAACCAAGAACACGACCTTCAATTTGCAAGGGTCTCTTGAAACTATTTCTTAACAAGAAACCAATAAAATGAGGACCTTTATAAAAGAAGAGCTATAATTTATGTTGGTTCTTGGGGTCTTGAATTGGCCAGCACCAAGACGGTTGGGTTGAACAGTATTGTAATGATTTAGTTAGAAAAACTCTCTTTCACCTTATTCTCTTGTTGATTTACGACCTTCTCCACTTGTTGCCATTAAAAATCCCCATTATCCATCAGTTGTTTTTGATGGGACGCACAACATCAGTTAGTGAATGCTATATTGAAGAATCTCACATTATGAGATTTTGTTGACCACATAATACAAGGGTATGTTTGTTAGTTGCAGTTGGAATTGAGAGAAACATATGGGGCTCCATAAGCTATAATTGGAGTTGCACTAAAAAAGAGCATAATTCCTACTATATGTGGGGAGTTGTGATTAAAAAAAAAGACGCATAAGCAAATTAATAACTTTCGGTAACTCTTGCATTTGTTTTTAAAATCTGATAGTTTCTATTCTCCGATTCCTTGATTTATGAATAAGGCCTCACTGGCAAAAAAAAATTTATTTGTAAGTTTCTATTGTAAATTACACTTAAATACCTATAGTTTGCTCAATGTTGCACATATATACCCTCAGTTGTAAATGGATGCACCCAAAACAAAATGCAATAAAAAAAATAAAATAGAATTTTTTTTCATGTGACGCTCGACACTCACATGCTATTTTTAGAACATTTCAAACTTTTTTTTTGTTAAATCTATTGCTTATCAAAATCCTATTTTTAGATAGGATGATTGGTTTAAAATGGGATTTCGATACGTTTAACAATAGATTTAACAAAAAAATTTAGTGTTGAGATATTCTGAAACAGCATGCGAGTGTCACATAAGTATTTTAATGGGGAAATTCTCATGTTTGCATAACCGAGGATAAAGTGCAACTTTAGGGTATTTAAGTGATGCCATTCACAACTGAGGGTATTTATGTGCAATATTGTGTAAACTATGGGGTATTTAAGTGTAATGTACCCTTTTTAAAGTAGTATAGTAAATGATTATTTGATAGAGTTCAGTAACCTATCTGAGCAATTTACTGCTACCCCGACTATAATAGTTATTCCAAAATGCAATTTTCCAACTTCTAACGACCGAATGCACTTGTTCAACAGAGGTTTTTGGCTACTATATCAAGAATAGAAAAATGACATGGAGCACTTATGTTTTACTTATTCTTTTTGTTATATACCTATAGGTACATAAAAGAGGGCAGCACAGTTAGTGTAATGGGGGTTGTTCAAAGGAATGAAAACGTGCTGATGATTGTTCCACCATCAGAGCCATTTTCCACAGGATGCCAATGGTTAAAATGTATACTCCCTGCAAACCTCGATGGCATTGTTTTGAGATGTGAAGACACTTCAAAGATTGATGTTATACCGGTCTAGTAAATTTCTGAAGCTGTTCAATAGTTATATGTATATGCCGACTCCAGTATTTTATTTGTTGGCTGCTGGCAGTAGCAATGTCTGAAACTGTGTCTACCAAAAATCTGTTGCACAAGTTTTAAGATGGTGTTGATGTATTTCGCGCTGGGTTTGGTTGTATAGCTTTTGTGATTTCCCCCTTTTTTTCCCCTTTCCTTATTTTGTTTATTAGGCTTGCAGGCTTTCTGTAACAAAGGTTGGATTAACGTCGTGTTTGTAAGGAGAATTAGAATGGTAAAGGTTGGATTTATGTTGAGAAGAATGAAAAGGATTGTTGGTATTAAACGAAATTTGTTTTCGGCAGAGACACTGCCTGCCTCTCTTGGCCGCATTCTTTGGTTTGTGTTTGATGCTATACTTGTTACTATTTGTTGGTTATGTTTTGAACTCTTCAAGTGGACTTCTTGTAATTTCCCTTGACTTAAAGTCAGCAACTTGCGGCTTTGTACTCTTGAAGCTGCAGTATTTGCAAAATACACCAAAGGACCTGGTTGAGTTTTGTTATATAGTTTCAGTTAGGTTGTGTTAGAGATTGACTTGATGTGAGTAGTTGATTGTCGCGACTCCGTTTGCAATGAGCAACATGCTAGTTTATGTTGAAGTTGGAATTGTGATTTCTTTTTGGGTTAAAATTGGTTTCAAGAAATGATACATGTTATTCACAACTCTCTCTCAACTGATTCTGCTTCCACTGCTGAATCCTTTTTAGACTGTTTCAGATCCTGAAGCTGACATGCTTGGCCTCTTGGCATACTTTGGCAATTCAAAAGGATGAGAATGTGTTGTGTCTGCTTGAAAAACAAAATGTTCGAGTATAGGCATATAAAACGATCTGCTGCAGGACCACACAACACCTACCTCTGAATCTAATTGTGCAGTCGCTCTCGTTCCTCGTTCATACCCAAAGGGACCATCTGTCGATCCATCAATCCAACGATTGTAGTTTACTAACACCGGGGGTCCTGTTCAATAATTTTCATCATTCTTCAACAAAAGAACAACTGCACAATTTGAATGCTCATCGTCTCTGATAGCACCACTGCTAAGGCCAGAATTCAGGGGCTTTGGATTTGGATTCAATAATTACTTTTGACCCTACGTGCTACAGATGTTGGAGATGGTCCTCGCTAGCACAACAAACTGAGAATTAATCTCAATAATAACTAATATAATAAGATCAGGTTGGCTCAGAAGAATTGAGAGGAATGCCTGAACTCATAATGCCTGCAACCGACACCATCAATATTTAGTACTCTGTCCACATGCGAATGTAGGGGCGTTAATCATAGCAAATATAACTTGCAAAAATGTTTTTTTTAATAAATGCTTTGATTTGATTTTAGCTGACTATTTTTACAAGTCAGTCCATTAAATGTTTCATATGTGTATGTATTTTTTTTACTCGTGCATCAAGCAACCACAATCATTCCAATAAATTGATCTCTACCATCTTACAGTAAATAAAAAAAAAGTATAGTGGAAACAGAAAGGATTTTGATCTCAATATTGAAAGCGGGTTACATAGCCTTTACAAACTCAAGCTGAGCCAAACAAGACCAGCTCTTCATTTGGAAACTTTCTTCATTAAAACATACATGTTTCTAATTTGATGATACATCCAAAAATATACAGAAACATATATCGCATTCGAATCACCAAATACACTACCAGCCTATTACACTTGACAATATCCTCTCTCATCTACGTTACATTGGAATCACAAGTTCCACGATAAACAACTCCCCATCAAACCTCAACCCATAAGCCTCCCGAGGCTGAAGCATTCCATCCACCATTCCTCCAAATATATAGATACAAAGCCCTGACTTATCTGTGCATGCACCATGAAAGGACCGATAACCCGGGTTCCAATCTTCAACCCTCAACTTCTTCCAAATCTCTTTGGCTGAGGCCTTCTTCCAACTAGTCGACTGAACTCTTAACAGATTATTAACATCCAACAACCAGAAATCATCTTTTCTTTGTCTCTGTGAATCCTCACCACCGTAAATGAGGATTTTGCCTCCAAGGATTAGACTCGCAGAATGACCAACACGAGGTCGGGGCATTTCTGTAATATCTGACGAAATGTCATATTTAAGCTCTGTCCATTTGGGCTTATCTCCTCCTAAATCGAACACCCACAAGTCGTTGAGAAATAACGACCATTCTATGGTCTCTGGTGAGGCAAGCTGCATGGGCCCCACGAGGCGGAGGGGCCATTGGGCCCACATTTTCAAGAAGCTGCCACGATATGGAGATTTCTGGGGTCGAGTCATAAGTGATGTTGCCGACCCATGTGTCATTCTGGCGAATCCCATTGTCGTTGATTCCGCCGAAGAGGATGAGGGTGTTGCCAACAACGGTGCATGTTTGACCAAACCGACCGCTAGGAGTGCCCGAGTTGACTTTTTTCCAATTTAGTATACTTCGGTATTGATTTCCTCCAACATAAGCTACCCATGTATCATCAAGATGACGCCCTATAAATATAGAAGAGAGGAAATACGCACCATAAAACACACATAAGTTTTGATGTCTTAATCGAATAGTAATAGGCTTTTAATATAAAAAGGTAGATTTGCACCCGCACTCTCACCCGCCCCCCCCCCCACCACCCACACAACAAACACGCAAACAAGCCGACCAAAAGGACACACTATTTTTTTTTTCTGGGGGTGATTTTTTTTTTTTTTTGTTTTTTTTTGTGTTTTTGGGGTGTGTTTTCTTTCTTTCTATTCTTTGTTTTTTTGTTGGCGGGGGGGGGGGGGGGGGGGGGGGGTTGCGGCTGTCCATTGGACCTTCATCCTCCCGAGCAATGACAGTCCAGGGGTACTGAAGTGCTAATGAATGACTTGAATATTATTACTGCAACTGAAAGTATAGACGAAGGGGGGTATCTGCAATTTTACCCTAAAAATCCTTCAGGATGAGTACATATTCCATGGCGCTCTCGAGAAGTGTTTCCAAGATTCAACTAATGTTATAATTCGAGCAAAACTCCCAACTTCCCCTGACTGAAAAATTAACAGTGTCAGACTCTCCATGTGATTGGGTAGAAGGGATGCCTGCTATACTAAACCTGCAACTTCTCTTCAAACTGCTATCATATGCTCACTAGATTTCGTTAATTGTATGCGAAGTGTTGGGATAAAATCTTTTGTTTGTGGTTTGTATCCCTACATTGTTCATGGGCATGTTTCTAGTTTGGCTTTTAGGCTCCAATTTGCCTCAAAGATGATTTCAAATGCAATTTCATATAGTTAAAAGTGTTAAAAGTTGTCCTTTTTGCTTTCTTTCTCCAATTGCATGACTTCAACCTGGGATCTTTTGCGGTAATCCACCCATCTCCTTGCCAATAAGCAAGACCCTAGTGGCTTGACATCTCTGCTCCAAGATTTGCGGAATTGAAAGGTAACATTCTCAGGTTAGAGAATTCATTACAGAGATGAAACTTTTTAATAAAACTTTGTGCTGAATGGAGGAGACCTGTCATCTTAATGAAACTATGCTCATGCTCTATCACTCTATGATAGTTGAATCTAAGCAAACATTTTTAGATATTAGAATATGATTTCATCTACTTAAACAACTTAGTGGATCGGACTCAAAAGAAGTAATTTGCCTTTTGAAAAAATGAATTAGTATTCAAGAATTCAACGAGAAGTATGGCTAAACAAGGAATACTCAGTTGTCAAGAATAATCAGTTAGTTCCCAACAATTCAGACGCATTTACACTCATTTGAACACTAATAGACCACGGTGGCATGATTCTGGAATATTGAAATCCTAGAGACTAATATACCATTGAGTCTCAAGTATATAAAGTTCCTATATACTCTCATCTAAAACTAAAATATGAATAACAAAAGGCAAAAGGGATAGAAGAACTATGATGTTAAAGAACTAACTGCTAGAGATACCAATGTATTTGTATCCTACAAAAATATAGTGTTGAACTTGCAAGTAACCAGCTAGAAACTAGCAAGTTCGTAGTTCATATGAAATAGTAATCTGAACCCCCTTGCTGCTCATGGTGTATTATCGTTGAAACTGTCATAGTTAAAAGGAAACATATAACATAAAAGCATCAAAAGAACAGTCGAATAATGAACTTCATCGTCTGAATGCCAATTTCATTCCTCAGGCTTATGGAAGGATCCAACGGATCCAACATCTACAGGATACTTCAAAAGGTATTATCCAACAACTATACGCCAACTATTGAGTTTAGCATCCTAGCATCCCACACATATATCACTTGCCCATGTTTGATAGTTTGCAATATCTTGGGGATCCTAGCAATAGTCTTGGTACGCCTAACACTACAAAGATTAAACCAATAAACAGTATTTCAACATCTCAAAGAATCAGCCTCGGTTGTAGAAGTTCACAATCTATTCAACTGACATTACAAGTCAAATAAGTGATCATAAATAAAAGGGTTTCCAGAGTGCACTTTCTATGGACAGGAAAACACGACACAGAGACCTTTTAATCTTAAAATTATTGAAAAGTAGAATCAACATGTCAACAGCCACAACCCCCGATATCCTTATCCTCCGCCCTTGGTTATAGACATTCTTTTCTTCAGCTCTTGCTATTAAAAGGCCATGTTACAACCTCCTGACATGTAAACAAGCATCTTAGAAAAATAAATGTTAAAAGATAGGATATTCAAGACCATCAATGCCATGAATTAATGTTAAGGCGATAAATGATTTTCAGGACACCATGGATGTGATAACAGCATTTAGCAATTTTTCACATCCTAAATTACATGCCTCCCAGTAAGTTCACAGAAGCCTAGAAACATTTTCCGGGAACACAAAAACTTTTCTTGTAAACAGAAGAACTTGTTAGGGTATACGTCAACAAGAACGCCTCGAACGGAGACACAATACACACCCAAATGATTTTGGAATCACAGAATAAAGACACAAATTCAATCACAGTACTCACATATATAACATGGTTCACTCTTCCGGAGCTACTCCACGGTGCAACGACGACGCCCAGTTCTTTTATATTCCAAAAAAATTAGATCAAAGAGAACACCCTCTCTTGATCAAGATACGCTCCAAGAATTCTCATAAACCCTCCTTGATATTAGGAAAAACTCTCTATTTTTCCTTTCTCTCACTCTTCTATAAGAGGAGTTGTTTCTAAGATGATTTTTCCTGAAGAGTTTTGGCCCTATTTATAGTGTTTGGGAAACACTATGCACTAATAAAATATTATTAGTGGTGAGACCCGTCACCTTTTTTTTTTAAACTTTTCGGCCACCGATTTCAGTGAAATAATAAAAGGTGGACCCCCCACATTTTATTATTCAATTTTGTCGGTTGTTGGCTGACAATCTCCCACTTAAAAATTTGATTGAGTATCAATCATATCTTCACACTATTCTTGATTACATCATCCAGATGTTTTGTATCTTTGGAGTGTGGTCAAGTGACTTCTACGCTACTTGAGATGCTCTATTGTCGGCCAATAGCCGCCAAAATTGAATAATAAAAGGTGACGGATCCCACCTTTTATCATTTCACCGAAATCAGTGGCCGAAAAGTTAAAAAAAGAGTGACGGGTCCCACCACTAATAATATTTTATTAGTGCATAGTGTTTCCCAAACACTATAAATAGGGCCAAAACTCTTCAGGAAAAACCATCCCAGAAACAACTCCTTTTATAGAAGAGTGAGAGAAAGGAAAAATAAATTTTTTTCCTAATATCAAAGAGAGAGTTTGTGAGAATTCTTAGAGTGTATCTTGATCAAGAGAGGATGTTCTCTTTGATCTAATTCTTTTGGAATATAAAAAAACTGAATGTCGTCGTTGTACCGTGGAGTAGCTCCGGAAGAGTGAATCGCGTTGTATCTGTGAGTACTGTAATTAGATTTGTGTCTTTATTCTGTGATTCCAAAATTATTTGGGTGTGTATTGCGCCTCCGTTCGAGGCGTTCTTGTTGATGTATATCCTAACTGGTATCCGTATTTGTGAATAGTAACGATACTTATGAATAGTACCATACTCGTGAATAGTGCCCAATATCTTTAAAGAGTAAATGATAATCTAGCTTATTTTCTGATGTGGATGATCCACTTTTAGTGGCAGCCACAGAACATACGATAAGCAAATAGAAGATTATTTGTATCAGAATGATCTTTTCCTATCCCTCCAAGAAATGGAGGGGAAACCTGAGAAGATGGACGACGATAAGTGGAATGTGCTCGATCGTAAAACACTTGCCACCATCAGGCTCAACCTTCACCAGCATTTGACTTACAACGTCTCGCGTGTGACCACTATCAAGGAGTTGATGGAGGCATTGGAGACGCTGTATGAGAAACCATCTGCTTCAAATAAGGTGTACCTGATGAAGAAGCTATTCAATCTAAAAATGCAACAAGGAGCTCGTGTGGCAGACTTCTTGAACGAATTTCAGGCTGTGGTGCAACAGCTTGCTGTAGTGGATCTCAAGTTCGACAATGAGATCCAAGCTCTTCTGCTACTTCCTTGTCTACCAGATTCGTGGGAGAATTTGGTGATGACGGTAAGCAACGCCAATGACAATGACAAGATGAAGCTCGACACGGTGATTGGGGCAATTCTGGATGAAGAATCTCGCCGTAAAGTCTCAAGAGCTGAGGCCTCTAACAGTGGGAGTACTCTGCATGTCGAGGCACGAGGACGTGCGCAGAAGAAGGGTAGGGGACAACGAGGCTGATCAAAGTCCAGATGAAAGTCTAAAGGGCCGAACCCGAATGGTTATGGTGAAGGGAAGTGCTTCAGATGTGGAAAGAATAGTCTCTTTGCACGGGACTACAGAGCTTTTATTCCAGCATCAGCAGAGGATGATCAGGCTGACGGTGCAGCCAATCTCATGCACGAGACGGATTCGGATGTGCTCATCTATCTCTTGAAGACAAGAGCAATGTGTGGGTCATGAGTCTAGCACATCTTTCCATGCAACCTCACAACAAAAACTGCTTTTATCGTTCGGGAAGGACTTGGAAACAATATATCTTTGCGACGATCAACCTTGCAAGGTTTCTGGGAAGGGAAATTATACCCTCAAGATGGAGGGCGCGACCACCTTGACACTGAACGACGTTCGGCATGTACCGGATCTCAGGCAAAATCTTATATTAGTCGGGTAACTGACTGACTCCGGTTACATAATATCCTTCGAGCAGGGAAGCTGAAAGGTGTCCAAGGGTGCCTTGGTGGTAGCACACGACAAACGCGAGGGGTCTCTCTACATCGCCAATGGGAAGATCGACCGCTTGTTTGCCGTGGGAGAAAGATCATCATCATCCGCCGACTGCATGACTTGGTATCGACGACTTGGCCACATGAGCGAGAAGGGGATGCAGATTATGGCCGCAGGAGAGAGACTTCCGGGTTTGAGCAAGATCGATCTAACTTTCTGTGAGGATTGCATCCTAGGCAAACAGAATAAGGTGAGCTTCAACAAGACC